TGCAATGGTGAATGGTCTGTTTTCTCATTGTTAGTGTATAGGAATGCAAGGATTTCTGTGTGTTAATTTTATATCCTGCATCATTACTGTATTCATTGATTAGCTCTAGTAAGTTTCTGGTAGAGTCTTTGGGGTTTTCTATGTAGAGGATCATGTCGTCTGCAAACAGTGAGAGTTTTACTTCTTCTTTTCCTATCTGGATTCCTTTTACTTCTTTTTCTGCTCTGATTGCTGTGGCCAGCACTTCCAAAACTATGTTGAATAGTAGTGGTGAGAGTGGGCACCCTTGTCTTGTTCCTGACTTTAAGGGCAAAACTTGTTTATGCTTTCCTCTGGGAAATTAAATGGAGGAGTTGAGCAGGACCTCTGTACTCATCTATACTTTATCACCCATGAAGGCCTCCCTTTCTGAACTTAAAGTTACAGTTAAGATAAAGCAGAAGTAAACAGGCGCCTACTAGTTTCATGTTGGTAATTTCCATCTCTGATACTGAGCAGCTGTGCTCTCTACTTCCCCTTAGTGTCATTCTTCTCAAATTGGAATTACTGTTCAAGGGAGGGCCTGAGGTACAAGATGTAGAATGAGCATAGTATAGACCCAGAATCAAACCGGGGTCTCCTGCATTACAGGCAGATTCTTTACCAAGTGAGCTATCAGAGAAGCCCCATTGGAATAAATATTTCCATATCAAACATACATATAGTAAATATGTGTTAAATGGGGTAAAACAAAAGGTCATATGAAAGTATTTTTATGTAAAGCTTTTCCTAATAAATAATACAGAAAGGTATGTAAATCATAAATGCAGAATTTAATATCTGAAGACAACATCATGTAGCCACTACTCATTTGTTTTATCTGATTATAAAATACTTTCTTTTTATAAGTGTTTGAATAACATCTTTCCCCACCCTTTTGCTCTTAACTTTCTGTATATATTTATTCTGTCTCTTGTAAGCAGCGTATACTTGGGTTTATTTTTCTTCTAGACTGGTAGGTAATCTTTATCTTTGAATTTGAATTTTAGTCTTTTTACAGTTAATGCCATTACTGAAAAATGTGTTTAAGTCAGTCATATTACTATTTGGTTTCTTTCTGTCTCATTTATTTTTATCCATTTCTTCCTTTGTCCTTGCCTTGAAAATACCTTTGATTAAAGTATTAATCATTAAGTGTTATTTTAGTTTTTTCTGTTTGAGTTTTACTTACATATTTTTACTTTTTTTTTAATGATTACAGCAGTCATTCTGTTATATTCTCCTAGTCTTTTAAAGTCTGATACTAGTATTTTTACACAACAAAATGATTTTAGAACACTTAAACTCTTTGTAGTCTGACAGTTTTTGTGCCAGTTTTGTCATTTATTTTAATGATAATAGTAACAATTCCTTGTGGGGACATTTTAATGTTTTATCTCACCGATGTTCATTTGGATTTACTTCTCAGTATATATATGGAATCCCAAGTGGCCCTAGTGGTAAAAAAAAAAAAAACCTACCTGCTAAAACAGGAAATGCATGAGAGACGTAGGTTCGATCCCTGAGTTGGGAAGATCCCCTGGAAAGAGGCATGGCAAGCCACTTCAGTATTCTTGCCTGGAGGATCCCACGAAGAGAGGAACCTAGTTGGCTACAGGGCGTAGGATTGCCAAGAGTCACATGCACATCAGTACATATAGTAACTTTATATGGTTTGGCCTTCCTGCTTACATTTCTGAATTTTCATCTAAAATTCTTTTCTTTCTGCCTGAAGAACACCTTTTAGAATTTCTTTTAAGAATAAAGCTGATTTTTTTTTAGATCTTTTCCAGGTTTATTTTTGAAGGCTATTTTTGCCAGATAGAGAATGCTTTCTTTGTCTTTGATTTTTGGCAGTTTTGCTGTCGTTTATCTTGGTATCATTTTCTTTGTGGGTATGGGTGTGTGTGTTTTATGGAGCCCCCCGAATCTGAGAGTTGGTAGTCTTTTGTCAGTTTTGGGAAATGTTCAGTCATTTGTTCCTCACATGCTTTCTCATCAATCAGTTACCTTCTTTCCTTCAAAGATCCCAGTTAACACATATGTGAGACCTTTTTACTCTGCTTCCTATGTTTCTTTTGCTCAGTTCTTTACTTTCCATCTTTGTTTCTTTTTGTACTTGTCTGTGTAATTTCTTCCGACCTGGCTTTCTGGCTTATTAGTTTTTTTCTTTATCTGTGTTTTTTCTATACCTTATATCTTTGTCTTGTCATTTAACTTATTGACTAACTAAAAGTCATTAGTAGGAAAATCTCTTACCTAAGTCTCCTGTGGGTCTGTTTCTATTTCCTACTGTTTTCTGTCTTCATTCAAGCTTTTAATTTTGATATCTGATTTTTTTATTGGGTTGGACATTATCATTATAAAAAATTATAATGATAATTTGATGTTCTTCATAAATTTATACTTCTCCAGAAGACTTTATGTTTTGCAGTTAAGCTAGGGGCAGATCACCCTAATCCATCAGTGGTTAAGATGATTCCAACTTGGGCTTCAGTCCTGGTGAAGGTTGGCCTAATTTCTGCTCTGTCCTTGTTCCTAGATTGTGGCTTTTCAGGGTCCAAATAAAAGCCTGGGTGTTTTCCAGAACCTCTTTTCTTGGGCAGATGTTGGACTCTGTTTTTTTCTTACCTTCTTTGCCTTAGCTCTTCTTTTCTCTATTAGAGACAGTGGTTGTCTTGAGGAATGAAGCCATGCTAGATGTCCAGCCCTCCTTTCTGTGCTTCTTTTCTATTTCCAGATCTTGCCTCCCCCAGCCCCCTGCAATTCTCACGGCCTTGCTACATCTTAGTACTGTCACCAGACTTATATATTTTTTACATTTTGTTCACTTTTGCTGGTTGTACTTAGGTTTAGTTTTTAAAAACCTAGCTGTTCTGGAAATATAATCACATGAAGTTGTTTGTTGTTCCAGTCGTGATCATTGGTTTGTTTGTTTTACAAAATATTTCAAAACAATTTTTATTTTGATGGTCATATTTCCCAGACCCCTGCCTTCACTACACATGTCCATTGTTCTGTGTTGTTAGTGGTGAGTGGGTAAAGAGTCTGAGAAACACATTGGGAAGAGCACTGACTTTTTAAGCAGACAGACTTGGGTTCAAGTCATAGCTTTTATCGATTGTGTCAGCCTGTGTTAAGTTATGTTTAAATTTTCTGCCTTTTTTAAAGTTATTTATTCATTTTATGGCTGCTCTGGGTCTTTGTTGCTGCGTGAGGGCTTTCTCCAGTTGTGTTGAGTGGGGTCTCCTATCTAGTTGCGGTGCACGGACTTCTCGTGGTGGTGGCTTCTCTTGGTGCAGAACACAGACTCTGGGGTGTGTGGCTTCAGTGATTGCAGCACATAGGCTCAGTAGCTGTGGCACGTGGGCTTCAGTCGTTGTGGCCCATGGGCTTAGTTGCCCTGAGCCATGTGGAATCTTCCCAGAGCAGGGATGGAACTTGTGTCCTCTGCATTGGCAAGCAGATTCTTAACCACTGGACAACCAGGGAAGTCCCAAATTTTCATAGTGAGAATGAAGAGTGAAGTTAAAACTTTCTTCAAGTGAAATGAAGTGTGGACTGCATCTGGCATGTAGTCGATGCTTAGCAAACATTTAAAAAAATTTCTTGGGGAGTTGGAAGCTATAGATTTAGGACTGTTCTCATAGGAATTGAGCATGTAGTAATTATTAGCAAACCTTTAAAATGGACCCGTTTGGTTGTCAGGCAGTTCAGCAGGCATTGATCCAGCAGCCACTGTTCCAGGCACCCTGCTTAATCCTAGTGATATGTAGAAGCTGTTCAAGGTCTTGCAGTCCAGTGGGGTAACAGTGAAAAGCAGTGAGCAGAGGGTGGCCACATCCAACATTGCAGTGGACTCTGCGTATTAGGGCACAGGGGCTGGCAAACTTTTTCTTGAAAGGGCTAGATGAGGCTTTGTGGGACGTACTGCCACCGCCGCTGCTGCTCAGCTTTGCTGTTGGGGAGCAGAAGCAGCCGCTCCCCCGATCGGACCCGGGTGTGATCCAGTTAGACTTCATTCACAAAATCAGGTGGCAGACAGGTTTGGCCCAAAGGTCCCAAACAGTGCCGGCTCTAGCCTTCACAAGCTAAGACTGTTTCTTACATTTTTAAAGGTTGTTTAATAAAAAGGAAGAAAGATAATACACAAAAGACCATCTGTGGTCCACAAATCCTTAAGTATTTTATTTCTAATTCTTTATAGAAAAAAATTGCTGACCCCTTATTAGAGTATGTAGAGAAAAAAAGTATATATAAGTACTTTGATAGCAAAGAAAGAAAAAGAATGTGGCAATCTGGCTTGGCTCCATGGAGGATCTTGGTGAGAAGAATAGGTAATTCTGTGTGCAAATAGAGACATGTTTACCTGTGTCCCACCCCAACAGTGATCCTCCTAGTTGCTACTCATTTATTTGATCGAACTGTCCATAATGTGTGTTTCAGCAGCAAATAGTGGGATGAAAGCCAAATGCTCTTAGAAATGTTCTCCTTATAAAGGAATTATCATTCCAAGATCAGGAAGATCTCCTGGAGAAGGAAGTGGCAACCCACTGTAGTATCCTTGCCTGGGAAATCCTATGAACAGAGGAGCCTGGTGGGTTACAGTCCTGCTGCTGCTGCTGCTGAGTCACTTCAGTCGTGTCCAACTCTTTGCAACCCCGTGGACTGTAGCCCGCCAGCCTCCTCTGTCCATGGGATTCTCCAGGCAAGAATACTGAAGTGGATTGTCATGCCCTTCTCCAGGGGATCTTCCCGACCCAGGATCAACCCTGCATCTCTTGTGTCTCCTGCATTGGCAGGCGGGTTCTTTACTGCCAGCACTACCACAGTCCATAGGGTTGCAAAGCGTTAGAGTTGACTTAGCAACTAAGACAACAACAACATCAGTAATACAGCTAACAGTTACCAGTCCTCTTGGTATGTGTGTTACTTTATAACACCGTAATAATTTTTTTCTTACAGAAATACATTTTCGGGAAATGGCCTCTAAATCTTGGCTGAATATTTTAACCTTCCTTTGTGGATCAGCAGTCGGATTCGTTTTATGCTCTCAGCTACTTAGTATTTTGTTGGAAGAACAGAAGGACATCCAGCCTAGTGTTCTTCATAATGATCCTCACGCTAGGCATTCAGATGACAGTGAACAGAATCATCTAGAAGGACAGATGAACTTCGATGCAGATGCCAGCCAACATAAAGGTATGGCTTACTATATTAAGGAGTAAATAGAAACTGTATTTTTCAATATGTTTAAGCGTTGAGAGAATTAGAAAAAGTTGCTTATATGAATCTTGTTATATCACTGTATCTTTTGATGGAAATGAGCTTAATTCCAGATATTAAATGACAATTCTTGGTTTGCCTCAGGAGAAAGAAATTACTAAAACCCAGATTTATTTAGGATGTAAGATATTAATTTTTATTTTTTAATAGAAATAGTTCAGGAAACATAACTTGGAGAAAGGAAAAACTTTCAGATTAGATTTATTTAATTTTGTTTTCATTGTTCATATCTATGTCTTTGGTTTTTGCTGTTATCTTGTTTTAGTCTTAGTTTTTGCTTAGTCTTGTTTTCCTAGAGAAACTCAAGAGGTATATGTGAATTTCAGTTTACTTTTTATCAGTGTCTGACATAACTAATCTAATCTTTTCTCCTTTTGAGAGGCATAAAACTGTTAGGGAAGTAGAGAACTAGGAATGTGTTACACTGATGTGAAACGACTTCATCTCCTGGTCTTGTACCTCTAACCAGGTGCTCTCAACCGTGTCCTCTCTGTGGCCCTTAAATGCTGCTTTTCTCTCGGTTTCTGTTCTTTGGCTCTTTCTCTGCCTGTGTGATGTCATCAGTCCTCATAATTTTAGTTTCCATCTGTTCTTTGCTGTCTTTACCTTAACCTAGTTCCACACAGTATGAGAAGACATTCACAATTCAAAGATCTCTGCAAATGGTAATTTATTTGACAGAAAATACAGCAGCTTGGAAAAAAAATTGGAATTCTGGGATGCAGCAGGTCCCACATTAAGGGTGTTTCTCTTATCTTTTTGGCAGTAAATTGCTTCTTTCCTACCTCTCAATCTGAGATTGAGGGTGAGGTACACATCCTGGTTATTTTATGAACTAGCAAGTACATGCATACTGTGACAAAGTGTCATGTGTGTGAGTGTTTATGTGACAGTGGTTCATCTCTGAGCAGCTGTGTTCTTACCATAGAGCAGTTTGGTCACTGTGCACCGGCTCTGTACCATTGCTCTAGGCTTTAGTTGTTCAGTGGGAGCCAGGCTTTTCTCCTGGTAGGCTGTTCTAGATCAGCCTCACTGCAGGCACATAAATTAGGGCCTACTTTTCAGTCTACAGAAATATGCTGAAGGTCTATTTCTCGCAGACTTAGCGTGTAAATCATACTCCTTCCTCTCCTTTCCAGTCCTAAAATGTTTTCTTCCTCCTATTTTTATGTAACTCACTACTTTCTGCCTAAGTCAGAAACTGTGACGTCATGGTCAGTGCTTTCCTCTGCTTCCCAATCAATCCTGTTTCTCGTAAATGTTAACAGTCTGCTTCTTTACTGTCTGTTAGGTTACTTCTCTCACCCTGTAGCATACTTCCCCTAAATCAGACCTTCGGTTGTATCCACGTACTTGCACTCAACCAAACTTCACCGTGTCTTTTGTCCTTTCTTCTGGTGAATTTCATTTAAAGACCTAATTTCTGCATCGTCTCTTATTTTTCCCGATATTGCCTTATATCCCCTTCTTCTCTGTTCTAGCCAACTTCCCATTTCACTATTCTGTAGTGTTTATCAGCCATTACTTTACCCCTCAGTTCATTGAAACCTTTTCACATACCTCTGTTACAGCATCTCTTAATATACAGCAAGTATTGGTTTGCATGCCAAGTTCCCATGCTAGAATGAATTCTTCTGTGGCAAAACATGTGTTTTATTCATCTTTTTATCTCCTGTACCAGCGCATGCTCATCACAGAGTAATGAATGAGTAATTGAAAGAACAAAAAAGGCTGTCTACCAGATTCCAACTGTAGGGAGAAGGGTGTCTTGCTCTATGTGAAACATATTAAGGATTTCTGCTCCCACCACAGTCCTTCCTGCCCAGGATTTGGCATATATGTACAACTAGGAGATTGAACCCCTCCACTGTATGAAATTTAAATGCTCTCTGCCTGAAAAGAGGGCAGTTTCGTCTGGGTTTGGATTGCAAATTCTTGATATTCAGAGGGACAGTTAGACTATTTTCATGCCCTTCCCAGCATTTGTCTTTACTCGCTCTCAGTCAGTTAACCAGAAATGTATGCCTCCAGCTGTTAATTTTTCACAGGACTGAGCTTTTGTAACTGATTGACCTTAACTTCAAGGATATTTCCTCAGGATGCTGCCTAGAGCGTTGCTACACAAAGTGCAATTTTGTAGAGTCATGCTGGTCTACAACTAAAACAGTATTGACGTCAGAATTAAACAGTTAGAAATTTTTATGGTAATTGGACAATAATTTTGGGTAAATCTAAACATAAAAACTTAGGGCTTGTGTTTTTTTATTTATTTTTGAAATTTTATTTTATTATTCATTTTTGGCATGTTGCAAAAATGCCAACTACTAACTCTTAACTACTGGAAATAAAAATTGATCGTTCACCAAGCACTGATCTGGAATCTCATAGTTGGAGTCTCTCTCTGGAGCAGTGTTACTCAAAATGTTGTCCTGGCCCAACAGCCTGTGAATTGTTTGTTAACCTGTCTGCATCCTGATTAGAAGCTTGCACCAGAATGTAACTCAGTGAATCTTACTGCTTAGAAAAATGGACTTTTTGGTAGATTGTAGCAAGACTTCCTTGATGAAAAAAGTAAGATGTTGCTTTATTATTTTTTTTTAATTGTTTATTTTTGGCTGCGCTGGGTCTTCATTGCTGCGCATGGGCTTTCTCTGGTTGTGGCGCATGGGCTTAGTTGCCCTGAGGTATGTGGCATCTTCCTGGAGCACGGATTGAACTCATGTCCCCTGCATTGGCAGGCAGATTCTTGTCCTCTGCACCACCAGGGAAGCCCGATGTATTGCTTTATATTTTGGCATAAGCTCCCTGTTTCTTTGCAAACCAATACTATGAAAAACGCTGCTCTTGACAATCTTGGAAATACTACCTCTGCTTATTCTTCTGTTTCTGGTGGATTTGCACTTTGGAATGAGGTATGTTACTATAAGAAATGATATTAGCTTTGCATTAACTCATCTTTTTCAAACTAGGGTAGTCATGAAAATCTTTTTAAAACCACCTCAGGGTACTTGTAGAAATTCATAACACAAGATGTGGACTCCAGAATGAACTGCTGCTTCATTAGTCTGTGTTTCCTGCCCTTCAGAAGCTTATTCATAGCAGTGAAAAACTCCTGTCAATGTTGTGTTTCTTTCAGCTGAATCACTAACGGTAGAGAGGTATATAGAAGGGGGAGGGGAGTCTTTTGAAATTGTTCAAGAAAGTGTCTTCTTTGGTATAATTTATTTTGAATTTACAACTATGTAAATTAACTTTAAGCAATTTTTGTTTAATAGATGAGAACACTGACATCGCTGAAAAGCTCTATCAGAAGGTTAAAATTCTTTGCTGGGTAATGACAGGGCCTCAAAATCTAGAGAAAAAGGCTAAACATGTCAAAGCTACATGGGCCCAGCGTTGCAATAAAGTGCTGTTTATGAGCTCAGAAGAAAACAAGGACTTCCCTGCTGTGGGCTTAAAAACCAGAGAAGGCAGAGACCAACTGTACTGGAAAACGATTAAAGCCTTTCAGTATGTTCATGATCATTATTTAGACGATGCTGATTGGTTTATGAAAGCAGATGATGATACTTACGTCATACTGGATAACTTGAGATGGCTTCTCTCAAAATACAACCCTGAAGATCCCATTTACTTTGGGAGAAGATTTAAGCCCTATGTAAAGCAGGGCTACATGAGTGGAGGAGCAGGATATGTACTGAGCAAAGAAGCTTTGAAGAGATTTGTTGAGGCATTTAAAACAGACAAATGTACGCACAGTTCCTCCATCGAAGATTTAGCACTGGGGAGATGCATGGAAATTATAAATGTAGAAGCAGGAGATTCCAGAGATACCACTGGAAAAGAAACTTTTCATCCTTTTGTACCAGAACACCACTTAATCAAGGGTTATCTGCCAAGAACCTTTTGGTACTGGAATTATAACTATTATCCTCCTGTAGAGGTAAGTTTAGAAATTTTATTACTGTATAGGTACTTTGACTTTTGTTTATTTAAAAAAAAAACTAATAATGTGATGTTCTTTAGTATCTCCCTTAGTCTCTTTATATCGAATGGCAATAAAAAAACAGAGCAGATGAGAACAAAGGTGTCAGCAATAGTAATTCCAATAAATATTTGTATTGCTGCATGCCTGGCACTAAGAATATAGCAGTAAATATTGTCAAGGTCCAATTCTTATAAACCTTACATTCTTGATGAGGAGACATACAATAAACAGGCTGACAAGTTCAATTATAAAATAATTTTAGGTAGTGCAAGTGCCCCACAGAACAACGGAGCCAGGTAAGAGGATAGAGAGTGACCCAGAGTTGGAAGGGATGCTTCAGTTTGGGCAAATAAAGAAGGCTTCCCTAAAAGGGTAACTTTTGAACAGAAACCTGAGTGAGGTTAGAAAGCAGGCTATGGGAAGATCTGGGTAAGGAGCCTTCTCATCTTCAGGAGCAATGCCTGAAAAGATTTTGAGGTTCAGAAAGACCTAGGTTCAAATCCTGCTCTCCCACTTAGTACTTGAGTGACCTTGGATGGGCAGAATTTGCCTAACCCCTGAGCCTGAGTTTCCTCGTTTGTAAGACGGGCCTGATCTACCTGTCTGATCCAGTGGTCATCACGCTACAGACAGTGTCTCTCATTACAGGGAGTACCTGTAAGTCCTGGACCTCACTTGACACCTTAGCTTACATTCCTGAGAATTTTATCTGAAATAATTATTAAATATTTCAAATATACAACTAAATATTTGAGGATATACTGTTTTGTACCCACCAACGACTGGGTACGCACACACAACACAACCAGCTTTACCAAATATTAGTCTTTTGCCACATTTGCTTTAGAATTTTTTTTTAAAACAAAAAGGTATAGAGATAGGTTAGGCCAGTGTCCTCTCCTCAACCCATTTCTCTTAGCTCCTTCCTGAGAATTAACCACTGTAATGAGTTTAGTATTTATCATTACCATGTGTGTTTTTATGTTTTTCCTACATGTTTCTGTATTTGTAAATAATACATAGTATGTTGTTTTGCAGGTTTTTAAATAAGTATAATTGTACCATAGGCATACTTGGACATATGCCTTTTTCATGCAACATTAAAATTTATCAACATTAATATGTGTATCTGCTTCATTAATTTTAGACTGCTATATAATAATCTAATATATGAATATACAATAACTTACCCAATCCTTCTGCCTGTATATATTTAGTAAGCTGTTGCCAGTTTTTCACTATATGATCATTGCATCAGTAATTGACTGGAGACCAGGAATCACAGTCTAGCTTTTAGACTCAGTTCTGTTATTGATTAATGTCTTGAGGCAAGTCACTGGTTCTGTTTACCTTTTCTCTGGCCCTAAGATAACCAATAATACACTTTATGGTACTGCTCTCTTCGTTACAAGCCATTGTTTTCAAATCACCATCTAAAACAGCTGTTCTCAGCCAGGGGCTCTTTTTTGCCTCCCAGAGGACACTTGGGAAAATCTAGAGGCCTTTTTGGTTGTTTACTCAGTGGTTGCGACTGGCATCTAATGGGTAGAAATCCACAAGGTTGTAAACTTACTAGATGCCAAATATTCCACAGTGCACAGGACAGCCCCTCACAGCGGAGCATTATCCAGCCCAAAATGTCAATAGCACTGAAGTTTCAAACCTTGACCTGGAACATCTGACCTGCGCTTTTAAGTTTTCAGCTTTAAAAGGAAATTTTAAAGCAAATTACTACTTTTTCAGCTCTCAACCACCAGTGTGTTCCTGGTACTTACATAGAAGTGATAGCTAATCCTTAACGGTAAACCTACATTTAACAAGTGACAAAACAGACTCAAGAGAGTCACGTAACTTGACTGTCCTGATGAGTAGCCTTGGCAGTATTTGCAATCCCTCTCTGATTTTAAAAGCTGTTATTATTTCTATCATGGCCACTGCTGTCTGATTAACGTTATATGTGTTCCCCAAAGGAGGGTAGAGTATGTTAGAATAAATATTCTTTTGTTGGGATAAATTCCACTTGAATAAACAAGCATTTTAAAGTTCAGTTTTATGTAATGAGGTTCTTTGAATCCATATGCTAGCATCTTACTGCTATTATAGACGCAAGAATTTCCTAAACTGTAAGACACATGTATTTCCAAGTCTGCCTTTTGATAGTCTGTTTTGGTTTTGGTTTAGTTTTGGGATGCTTTTTCGGTGCAGTTTTCTTAAGCCATCCAGGATTACTTGACCTCTTCCCTTCTCAATTCTGCACCCCTACTGTACAAAAATATACCTAAACTCAAGAACATTACAAATGCATAATAATGAAAACACCTAAATGCATGTAAGATTTCACCAAGAGTTTTTGATGTTGGATACACAGAGCAGTAATAGCAAAGGAACATAATAATTGTTATTATTTTTAACCAGTAAAATACCCTACTTTGCCTTTAAAAGTACTGCCAACAGTTCCTACCTGCAAATAAGGTATCCCTAACAATGTAGTTTATATTAACAAATATTTACAGAGCACATATTTTATTTATTTTTAGTTGTATCATGGATTTTTCTTTTGCACTTTCTGTTTTGCATTAGGATATAGCTGATTAACAGTGTTGTGATCATTTCAGGTGAACAGCAGAGGGACTCACCCGTACATATACATATATTCATTCTCCCCCAAACCCTCCTCCCATCCAGGCACATATCTTATTTGAATTTTACTAGCCTTTTAAATGCATGGGAAAATTTACATTTATTCTCCAAAAATTTATGAGTTATTTTAAAAACTGTAAAACAGAATTGTAAGTTCCAAAATTGACCCAGCCTAATTTTGCCTCTTCTCTCTCAGAAGGTTCTATATAAACCCAAGTGAAACCACACTTCTGTTATTATTCATCATTTAATGAATTGTCTTCTCTCTAAGGGAGTTGCTGTTTTCAAAGCTGTCCTGAATCTCTTACATACTTGCTTTCTCTCCTTAGTAGTCACTAAAAATACAGTGCAGAAAAATTTCGTCTACAATTCAACATTATAAAGCAGTTATACTCTAATTTTTTTAAAAAAAGAATCTCCGAAAAAGCAAATTTTATCTAGCAGGTTAGGGTGTGAAATAGTGTAGTTAATCAAAAAGTTATGTTCTTCTGTTAGTCGTTCAGAACTTTTCATGCAGTTTCCTTTCACACTCCCTTCTCACTTCCTTAAAAGTGAATCTGTTCCTAGGAATGAAATCTTTTCCCTAGGGCTACAGTCTATTCCCTAGCAGTAGATTTTTTTCTCACAAGAAAATTTGAAGTCAGTCTTAATACAGTGGATTTAAAATATAGTGGATTTTCAAATACTGAAAAACATTCCTCTATGTGTGAAATTGCCTTTTTTTATAGGTCAGAAATGATCAAATATGGTTTTAGCATATTAATTCTTCATTTTATTTATATTAACTATAATCCATTTGAAGCTTACTAGTGTATATGGTTCATGTAGAGAACTCCTGATTTTTCCAAATTGTTAACTAATTATTCCAGTACCATTTATTAATAGTCCTTTTTTCACTGCTGATTTAAAAATACCTCCATTATTATCATTCACTATAGCATTACTTGGACTTCCCTCATAGCTCAGTTGGTGAAAGAATCTGCCTGCAGTGCAGGATACTCGGGTTCGATTCCTGGGTCGGGCAGATCCCCTGGAGAAGGAAATGGCAATCCACTCCAGTATTCTTGCTTGGAAAATCCCACGAACAGAGAAGCCTGGCAGGCTACAGCCCATGGGGTCGCAGGAGTCGGACATGACTGAGCGACTACGCCACCACCACCTCCACAGCGTTACTTACAGTCGGGTCAGCATCTGAGATTTCAGTTCTGTTCCACTGTTCTGTTTGGTTTTGGCTTAGCACCACATTGCTTTGAACCTTGTAGCTTTACAAAGTCTTCAAATTATTAATCTAAGACTGTGTCTTTTTTCCTTCATTGCTCCCTCTCTTTTTCTTTTAAATTGTTTTGGCAACTCTCAAATTCTATACTTGTGCATAAACTAGTTACTTTAGAAATAATGGATATCTTTGCCCATTTTTTTTAAATTTCCTTTTAGGTCCCTTAGTAAATTTTTGTAGTTTTCTTCAAGTAAACCTTTATTTCTTAAGTATCTCCTTAGGTTTTTAGTATTTTTGTTAGTCTTCTAATTGGTTTCTTTGCTTAACAGTTTTAAACTAGTGTGTATATGTGTATATATATATGAAAGCTTTTTTCTTCCCTAAGCATCTTTAAAATCTGGCTCTGTTCCTGGATTTTTTTATTTCTGATTATTTTTCACTTGACTCTGTTGAGTTTTGGGAGTATCCATAATCATATGCAAGGAACTAGGTACTTTGTTTCTAAGGATTATAGCTATTTTATTATATTGCCTTTTATTGCTTATAAATATTAACTAAATAAATAGTAAATTAAAAACTGATATCATTAAGCAGTTATCCTGGCCATCCAGTAAAAAAAAACAGCACAATGGAGTGTAACATAATTACTGCAGTAAATCTAAGCAAAATATTATTATAATATTTCAGAGTTATATAAAATTGCTTCCAGAGAGGATCCAGTAATTTAATATTAACCACTCTTGTTCTGGTCTTCAGTGGCCACTATGCACTGGCCACTATAGTAGCCACTAACCACATAACGACTATTGAGTGTTTGAAGTATGACTACTGAAATTTAGATGTGCCCAGTAATAGAAATCATACTTGATTTCAAGGACTTAGCACAAATAAAAAGAATGATTTCATCAATAATTTAGCAAATATTGATCACCTGTCTAAATGTTAATATAGATTTATTCAGTTAAAACATACTCAAATTAATGTCACCTATTTCTTTCTACTTTTTAAGTATGACTGCTGCATTTTGTGGTCACATATGTCTACTGGATAGAGCTGGTTTGATAATCACAAGTTGACTTATCTGTTTACTTCTCATATTTATTTCTATTTTTAAATTCCCTAAAAATGTAAAAAGTAGACACCAGATAATTTTCCAGTGTCTACATGTCAGTCCAAGAAACCCATCTATTCAGTTTTTGTTTCAAAGGAGAGTTTAGAGAAAAGGCCAGAGAAAATACAATGGACAATTTCTTAATGATTTTTACTGCATTGTAAGCTGCACACTTCCAAACATGAGTTATTATAAGTTTGATTTAGTGGATCACTGTGAATCTTCTCTGGGAGCTTGCCTGACTCTCTTTCTCCATGAGTCATTGCAAAGACAGTAGATAGTCTTAAGTTTTCTTGCAGTTATCCGAGTGAAACAGTCTCCAGAATGCCAATTTTGACCCCAGAACGACCTTGTGACTAACTACTTAATTCTGGGACCAGTTTTTAAAATTCTGTCTCATTTATTCCTTTTTTATTCTTTTCTGTTTTTGTATTTTTGTTGTTATTTTGTTTCTGTCTTCTTTAACTGCCCTCATGCCAGCTCAGAAATCTGTGAGAATTATATAACTGAACAAAAGTTTAACTGAGGGCCACCTGAATATGATTATTTTGTCAGTGTAAGCTAACATTTATTGAGCATTTACTACAGGGAAAGCATGGTACCAGCCATTTTATACACATTGCCTCCTTTAAGTAACCATCTTTTTTGCACATGGGGTAATTGGCACTTACAGAGATTAAGTAACTTGCCCCAGATTATACACTAGTAGGCAAAATATGGGCTCAAACCTAGGTATGACTTAGCACTTCCTCTCTTAAATACCAGATTGTTTGGGTTAATGTATTGATGAAGTTTTAGCTTGCAGATACCCTTCTGGGCAAGGCTTTGTAACCACTGAATGTTCTAAAGGTGTCTTTCTGAGGCTGAGCCAAGCAAAAATTTATAATGAGAAAATTATGAAGAGAAAGCGAAACTTGGAGAAATAGAACTTGGTCCTTTGTATAGCTGACTCTTTCATTTAAAGAAGTCTCAAGGTTTTCTACGTTTGGTTTTTTTGGAGGGGCACTAATCGATAGGGTATGAGAGAATTTTATTTCAGTTAGATATACTTCAGCAATTTCATGTTAGAAAACACTTGGTTTCTCTCACGGGTCTAATAAAGCTTGTGGTTCTGCTTAGTTTGCCAGCTTTAAAGCTTTGATTCTGTTAAAACTAGTGTTTCCTTTTTTATCAGTATGTTAATATTGTATGTAACAATATGCCATTTATTAATAATGCCTGTTTCTGCTACTTTTTTAGGGTCCTGGTTGCTGTTCCGATCTTGCAGTTTCTTTTCACTATGTTGATCCTACGACTATGTATGAGTTAGAATACCTCGTTTATCATCTTCGTCCATATGGTTATTTATACAGATATCAACCTGCCTTACCTGAGAAGATGCTAAAGGAAGTAAGTCAGATATACAAAAATGAAGATAAAAAAGTAAATCAGGAGCCCTTGAAAGAAAAACATAAATGAACAGAGGTAAAATGTCTAGCATTGCACTGAAGAAGAACTTCTCCATTTCTGATATAGAACACTGGAACCCCAGTGAGGAATTCTTTGCAAGTGAACATTCCATATTAGAAACCTTTCGTATGAATGACTGTAAACTGAAGCTTTAAGTGCGCTGTGAAGTCTGTTAAAATGTGTTTTGATACAGTAATATATATATGTATAAGAAAAACTTGTGTTTTTAAAATGGTGGCCAGGCAGAGGGACTGGAAAAGAGATTCGTTGCCTATTCCTGACCACATGTATTATTTTCACTGGGAAATTAGAAGTTAAACTTGCTAAAACTACACTGCACCATGTTAGTAACTTACACACGATGCTAAACAGATCTGCCTTAAAGAAAATTTAGAAGGAAATATTGTTGCTCAGTGTTGTCTGTAGACTCAGAACATGAGTTTATATTTGCAGTATGATATAAATGAACCAACCACCCCCTGACACACACACGAACAGTTTTTGTCTAATGAAAATTTGCTGTGACTATTTATAATTGGTAGTATTTCTTCCAGAAGAAGGTAGAATAAGAATGGCACTTGTCCTTAAGTGCATTAATAAAACCACATTTTGAAATTATCATGGGCCTTGACTGTATTATATACTTCATTCTAATTAATAGTTAATCTTCTGCGGAGTCCCCGTTGTCTCTTTTCTAAATGTGCTTAACCATTCTCAAATGCCATTCTGAACTATTAATATTTATTTACTGAAAGCATTAATAGCATTCAATAAACATGCATTTTTAAGTATTTTATTCCTAGTTTTACCCATTGTTAATTATGGGTGACTAATGAGAGTAAATTTAATGCTATTTGGAGATGCATTTCTTATAATAGTGCTATTCTCAGGAATCACTAAGTTACATTTTTAACTTGATTATTTAAAACTCTGTCCAACTACATAATTATAGTTCCTTTCTTTCTCATTCTGTTGAGAGATGAGAACTTGTTTGTGCCTTTCATAACTTGTTTAAAGCAGAGGTTTGAGATTCATTTTTAGGTTCTGAGGTGGCTGTTAGTTACACTGGCTAAATAATTTGTAAGATTTTGACCAGAGTTAATTAAAAACAGTAAAAAATGCAGAATGCTTAAACAAACTGAAATGTGTCAAATATTAAAAGACCAAATACTTAATTTATGAATAACACTGAATTTTGATGCTGACTTCCTTGAGGATGATTGTTTTTGTCAATGGACAGTTGGAACAGAGCAGAATACCCATTCAGGACTGTCATCAAAAACACATAAATGTTTCATTCTAATTTTGGTGACCCTCTATTTAAAGAATTTCTGGAAGGAAAGAAAATGTTAAATTTTAGTTGTTTTTAGCAATTATCATCTGAGTGTATCATAACAGAATACACCTTCTATATGATTATCTTAAATGTTACAAATAATTTACATTTCTCTTATGTTTTATCATAATGCTAATTTTATGTGGCTGTCATGCCATTGATTCTGCTGCTTAGCTAAATAGTTTATATTTATTGTGCCAAAATATGTCAAAACCAAGACCTCTTTGCATTGTGTATTTGAGAGAATGTTCATTCTAGTGGCTAATGATGGATTACTCTGTCAATATAGTGAAAACTTACACTAGTTTTTACCTATTAAATTTTTTTTTGTTATTTTCTTGGTGATATCAGCTGCCAAACTTTTAAGGCATTCTGTTCTTTGAGCAACTCTTTACCTTGCTATGAATATGAATTTACTTGCTGTCCATATATGCTACTTTTCTGTACTAGAATTATAAATTGTTTACCATAAACATCCAAAAACCTTAAAATTGACTCATACGAAATCAGCATTGTGATGAATCCTGGGGTCTGGAGTCGGACCACCTAGGTTTAAATTCTTGTTCCGTCACTAGTTTTGTAGCTTTGAGCAATTTACTTAATCCTAACTCTGTGCCTCAATTTCCTCATCTGTAGACTAGGGACAGGAATACTACCTACCTCACAGGATTTTTATGAGGATTAAATGAGTGAATATGTGTATGGCTTTTAAGAACACTGTTTGTCCCAGAGTATGGAGTGCTAAGTGTAAAGTTTTCTTATTATTCTTTACCTTGGAGTATAAATATTTATTTTAAATGAATGAGAAATCTGCTTTAATCAAATCAGATATTAAAGGAAATATTTCATACATTTCTTATAATAAGTAATAGCTAGTTTTTATTTGATGCCTACTATACACCAGGTAATGTGCTTAGATACTCTGTGTTAATCCTCACAAATTAGGGGTTACTCCCATATTATAGATGAGAAAACTGAGGCTCAGAGAACTACAGTCATTTTTCCACTGTCAGAAAGTTAGTAAGTAACAGGGCTAAGATTTATACTCAGAGCCTGTGTGTTCTTTGCACCAAGTCAGCCTTGAGGTTAATCATGTAACATTATTTCCATTTTTACTTAATGACATGTGACATCTGATACACTGACCAGTAGTTGTCAAATTAACCAGCCAAAATTGTCATGATGATTTGTAAATTGTGGTTCATATACTCTTGCCTGGGAACTTGTTAAAATGGAGGTTTCAAGACCCCAATTCCAGAAATTTTGATTCTTTCTTGGGACCCAGAAGTATGCATTCTTCCCAGATACCCTTGGGCACCAGTTCTCAAAGTGTGGTCCCAGTCCACAGTGTCATCATCATCACCTGGGAATTTGTCAGTAATGAGTCCTGGGTCTCACCCCAGACCTACTGAATCCCGAAACTCTAGTGGTAGAAGCAAATAATTACATTTAAATAAGCCCTCCAATTCCCCACTAAACCTGGTGATCATATGCAAATCATCCTTATAACACACTGAGGATTACTTCCCCATAAGTGTGGTTATCTTTCAAAATTTAGATACAGCATAGTATAATGTAGTTCTATACTATGGATCTAATATAGAATCACACTATATTAGTAAAAGACTAAAGATAATATAAATATATTTAGTAAGTGACTAAAGATAATATAAAAAGGTCAGTGAATCATTCATTTGACAGAATCCTTTAGCTTCTTCAGGGTGACTAATATCAGGGCCCACAGTAAAATATGAAGTTTAGTAGTTTCATATTAGGGCAGAAAATGTGCAGTAATTACTAGTAAGTACACATTAATTCATTAAAAGCATACCGAAATGAATGTCATCAAAAATGTCCACAATTGGTGGTAAAAAAAATTTTCAATAGAGACAGTAAAGTACTATTATATAATATGCAGAATGTTTTTCTGCTAATTTTATCAAAATTTCACCACTTTCAAGGATCAGTTGACTGTCCTATAGGATGTAGTAAAGCAAAAAACTCTCCAAGTATTTAATAGAGCACATAAAATCAGATTTGATGCGGATAATGACTTACTGTCTTTTACATGAAGATTTTTGTCATCTGGGTAAATGACTTTAGTATGGTCTTAAACAGGCTTCGCTGTCTTTTGTTCTCCAATAACAGTATACTTGTATTTCAAGTGGGAGGCTTGTAGATGATACAAAGCAGATTTTTTCCCAGAGTTCAGTTGTTTTCAAATACCTTAAACTTCAGAGGAATTTCTGTTACATGTAAGAAGATTTGGAAAGAAATGACTGACCAGGTTTTAATATTTTTAAAAGTATGGTGATTGAATTTGAGCATTAAATTTGCTAATTGGTTATTTTCATAATTGTTTGAGTATTAATTTTTCACTTCCTTGAGCCTGTTATACTGTGTTATTACCAGATTGAGGCTTGAAAAATCCCTCATTTGATAGATTAGATGAAGTCTACCCTTTTATTCATTTAAATTTTCATTTCTTTAGAATATTTCACTTCTTTAGAATTTTGACAATTTGTTTCTTTGTATTTATTGCCCATCTTTATTTCCTTGATAACTAACTTCCACTTTCTAACTACTCCTACTGCTGCCCTCACAAGATTAATTCAGCTATTCTTTGTGATTAGAGTTTGTATATATCACTTACATAATTTTATACCTATTGATATTGTTTCCCTATGAGATTGTAAGTAAAAGTTTGTCTAAGAATAATGCCTGCTGGCTCTCAGGATACTTGACCTACTTAAAAGTCTACAATTTTAAACTAATTTTAGATATTCAATTAAATGAAGTAAAACTATTTAAAATTATTTGGATTCTTCCACTCCCCAACTTCACTTTTTCTCAAGAAAAAACACCCTCATTTGCCTCATTTCACTGCTTATTTATAGTAAGCTTGACAGAAGCGTACTTAAGAAATCTGGGGGGCAACCTTTGGTTTATGTTGTACTAAATATAACCTCTATTGATTAAAAAGATGGCTTATGTTTATATGTTGGAGTTGAAATAGAAATTTTAGTTCAGATTAGAATGAGAAATTTTATAAATTCTCTTTAGAGAAACCAACTCTAAAACTAGTTTCAACTCCTTTACCTCTCTAGTTTTTAGTTTATATCAGCGAAGTTTAAATAACTTTACAGGGCCCTGCAGTGATCCATATATAAAGTATACTATTAGAGGGGAACTAATCTTACTGCTAAGCAGTGTGTTATATTGCCCAGAGGATGTTTGTGTTTTGGAATTTAAAAATTATGTAACGTAATAGTATCATGAATGATTTTAAAATGTCTGGTGACTTGCTTATTTTAAGTGATCACCAAAAAGTCAGAAAAAATGTATTTTTAAATGTTTTTTAAAGTGCCTTTTGAACATGTTTAAACAATGGATTTAAACAACTGCATAAAATAAATTACCATTTTAAAGCTGCTTTATCTGATTATTTTTAACTGATGTAAAAGTTGTGGGAGATACATTCTTTAATGGGTAGTTTTGGGGTTATTTTACCAAAAATATTAAACAGTTTTCCCATCAAAGTTATGCAATTTAAATAGGCTTAAATAATTTTTACTGCAACATGTTATTTTTCTTTAAAGCAACAAAATATTCCACCTCTGATTTTGAATAATCTACATTCTAAAAACAGAAACACCTAAGCTTTTGTCCAGGTAAGTGTGTATCTGTGTATCTCTGTTTATAGGTATACATATATGTTATAGAAAGAACACATGAAAAGAAAAGATTGCTTTCCTATTTCTTGGTATACTTCTATCTGTCATGTACACTTGAGAAATTTATTTATTCAGCTAATTATTTATTTGAATAATTGTGCCCAGAATCTACTAGAAATGCAGAGGTGAACCACGTATATAAGGTTTCTCTTCTCCTAGGGCCTTAATTCTACAGCTAGGCAATAAACAAGGTAGTAGATGAAGGAACACCATGTTTCAGAGTGGTGTTAGGGAAAAAAAAGTGTGATATGGTAGAAGAATTTTCTGGGTGGGGTGTCAGGGAACACCTCTAAGGAGGTAATATTTGAGCTGACCTGAACTACAGACATTTTATATACTTCAAAGATATTTATATCTGTGAAGTTCTTTGCTCCTACTAAGTAAAAGAAAAGTAATAATATTGTTTCCCACCTCTGCTTAATCATGCTTTGGGCGTATGTGAAGGCTTACTGCCTTGTCTTTCCTCCTCCTATTCCTATAGCACTGGAATCATACTCCTGGTAACATTTAGGTTGAATTTCACTTTCCATTGTTGTTGTCAGATTGTAGAGCAATGGTAAAATCTAGACAGGAGTTTGAAAGAGAACTGATGATTCCGTTTTTTTCTTTAGTTTTATGCAAGGATATCATCCTTATAACTGTACTGTTCAGTGGACATGTGTGAGATAGATAAGACTAGAAAGGTCTGATTATTTTAATAGTTGAATTTTTTCTTTAAAGTATTATTTGTTACTTTTTCATGCTGGTAAGATTTATGTAGTAATTTTATTTGACGAGATGAAGGTATATGCTTAGAGCAATTAGGCATAGAAATGATTTGTTGTTCATAAAAATTAATTTTTACAACCTACTCACCTGGCTGAATTTTCCCTCACTTCCTGCCTTTGAATTTCTGGCTCTTTGAACCTTCCGCTATTCTTTGCTTCTCTCATCCCATGTCTTTGCTTTTTTCTCTTCTTCCATTGGCAGCAGTACTTTCGTTTCTTTAGGCTTTTTGTTTGTTTGTTTTTGCCCCCATTTCCTATCAGCAGATGTGTTTTAAAGGTTTTTTTTTAGATCACATGTTTTTGGTGAATTTCAGTTCCCTCCCACAGCTGAAGAAACTTCCCTAGAATCAACAGAAAGGAGAAGGAAGAGAAAATTTCCTAGAACTAATAGAAAGGACTCAGAGAATACATGTCATCGGAATCCTAGAATTTTCTCTTGTATAGAAATGTTTCTTGCTAGAACCTACCCCTCCAAAAATATGGGTGCTTTTTTTTATTTCGGTACTTGAAAACCAGTGAGAATCTGCCTTACTGTTTTTTAACCCCGAATTGCTATCATCTTGTCTGGCAAAAGTGGTGTGTGAGGCTTTGAGTGGTCTTCGTGGCACCCTTGTGGCACCGAGGGCGTCCCTTGTGGCTCAACTGATAAAGAATCCGCCTGCAGTGTGGGAGACCTGGGTTGGCAAGATCCCCTGGAGAAGGGAAAGGCTACCCACTCCAGTATTCTGGCCTGGAGACGAGTATAGTCCATGGGGTCGCAAAGAGTCGGACACGACTGGCGACTTTCACTTTGATCGTGGCAGAGGTGTCTCTCCGGAGCAGAATCACAAGTATTTTTCTGTTTTATTTGAAACAGTGAGGTGGAGAATTCTCCTCTGGTTGGCTGTTCCCGGCTTCTCTGAGTGCTGTCGTCTTGTGCTGTGACTTCCACCTACCGCTGTGTTTGGTCCTGAGGAAGGAACTTGTCCTCTCCCTTATGCAGCAGAGCAGAGACCAGATGTTCCTGGATGTTCCAGAATATCGGAAGAAAAAGTGCAGAGAATAATTATGAGAGCTGCCTAGAAGGATTGGGATCCTCTTGCCGCTCACCAGACTGTCCTTGCCTTGCCTTTTTTCCAAAGCACCAGCAGTGGCTGAACCACCCCCACTAGAAGCATTCCAGATACCACTACATTTTTATAGAGTGTCCACCAAATTGACATCTACCCTGTGTTAAATAAAGAAGCTCTTCCTTCACCCCAGGTTACAGCTCTCACACTTCACTTCCTGCTGGAGAACTGACTCCTCCCCTGGGAAACTGACAGGGAAAACATTCACTGTCTTCAGAGGAAATCCCATCTTTACCCAGAGGAGTGTGGTCTGGATTTGTGGTCCCCATGTGGAAATACCAAGTCATCTGTGAAAGTGAGAGTTGCTCAGTCGTGTCCAACTCTTTGTGACCCCATGGGATTCTCCAGGTCAGAATACTGGAATGGGTAGCTTTTCCCTTCTCCAGGGGAACTTCCCAACCCAGGGATTGAACCCAGGTCTCCTGCATTGCGGGCAGATTCTTTACCAGCTGAGCCACCAGGGAAGCCCAAGTCTTCAGAGGAAATCCCATCTTTACCCAGAGGACTGTGTCAGGATTTGTGATCCCCATGTGGAAACACTCAGTCATCCGACTTCAGTGTATCTGGTGAAGTCCGTATTGTTCATTCTTAGATAAATCCCGTGTGGAGCAGCAGCAGCCAACGCCAGGTGAAGGTGCAGGCTCAGACCTGTAACTGTTCTGTCTCACCGCATTAAGGGTTTTAAACTGGTCTTAGGATCCAATTCCAGCTATATGCTCACTTCACTATAACAGTCATCAACCTTGAAACGTAACAGAAGTTACTTGATAACTTCATTTACATCATTTTCCTCTTTAAAAATTAGCCACTTTCAAATCTTCATCTTCTTTAAAGTGTCAAAATTTTAGAAGTGGAAGCAGAACAAAAGAATTGGGAAATAATGAGTGAATACCTGTGTTTTCTTAGTGATCCTAAATTAGACATGTGCCCTGCTATTTCTGCAATCTGTAAGTAATAATGACATTTAGTGTTATTTTCCATCTGAGAGTCTCATTATTTTACCGTTAGACTTTCTTTTCA